TAACATACCTTGACTAGCGTGAGATGAAAATCTTTGAACCCCATTTCAAGCTTCTGGCTGATATGAAGACTTGATGATCGAATAGCAAAGCAAAAGAAAGAAAGAAAAAACGTAACTCTTTTAAAAATGATATGGAGTAATTGGTTTTAGTCTATAGTCCCTATTAATTACGAAATTAATATTCCATTGAACTAAGTTCATGAAACGGTTGAAATATTGGTAGTCCTCATTCATGAATGTGTAATTGAATGCAACTATGCAAGCAATTTGGATTTTGTAAGACCATTCGAGAAAGTTTGGATTTATGGAGAAAAAGATTACAAAATTTATTAATTTACTATATCGAGTTTAAATTTTTATTTTTTTAATTATACTAATACGAACCGGATAGTTGAGAAGTTTTTCTAAGTTTAAATCTTTGGTGGTGGTGTTGGCTCTAGTGGTTAAAACCGGACCAGCCCGGTCGGTCCAACCCACCAGACTGCAAATTGCATGATATTCCAGTCCGGTCAAATTTTAAGACACTCTTTCCCATTGGCCCTCCTAAACCTGTTTGACCCGGCCCATTTGAATCGAAGTCCTAAAGATGGCAACAAGTTGGGTTTTGTTTTAGGTGGAGCTTCACCCTCATCCATTCATGGACTCTAATCATATTCATCACCCGATCCATCTATATTCTGTTACATACATCACCTATCACCTGATTCTGTCACTCGCATATGACACGGGTGAAAATGAGTGATAGAAATAATACGAAGTAATTTTTTAATCATTGATCTCATGAAGAGAAACTTTTGAAGCGTGTGACACCAAAAGATTCTTAGGGAAATAAGAGATTAATGATGTTCAAGATACAAAAAAAAACTTTTTAAGTTACAAACTAAGTTTTTATAAAATGGAATATTTGAAACTAAAACAAATTTAAGTACAGAACAAAGGAAATATTTTTGGTATTAATTATTTTTAAAGTAAATATATAAATGTGTCATGTGATGGATCAAGTGACAGGTGAGAAACATCTCCACCTGTATTTAACCTGATGCATCATTAATCCATCCATCACATGTCCATCGTCCTTTTTTGGGTTTTTATCCATGAAAATGAGTTAAGTAGATCGATTATTAATCGGATCAGATACGAATTGTCATCCCTACCAAGACCTTGGGAATAACACTTAACACTCTAACACTTAAGCCACTAAACAACTTGTTTCCAAATCTTCGCAAAAGAATATACTTCCTCTATCCGAAAAAGATCTCATTTAATTTTTCTTGATTAAAGTTTGTAAACTTTAACTTTGATATAAAGAAAAAATACATTGTGTTTTAGTATAACGTAACATCAATTGTTACGTTTTAAAACATATATTAAAAATATAAATTTTTTAAAAATAATATCTATGTTTAAATATATATATTAATAGTCAAAGTGTACATTAAAGATCGTGAAAAATCAAATGAGAGCATCATTTCTAGACGGAGGTAGTAAACAATTTCTATGATGAGTTGTGTGAATTAAAAAAACTTTCAACTATTTGTAAAAATGAACATGTTTGTGTGGTGCAATGATTTTATACTTTTAAAATAATTTGAGTTAAAAATAAAAATAATTTATTTTCTATATTAAAATAATGATATATTTATATCTAAAAACACTATCATTAAAAAAAATAGAAAGTGTAAAAAACTTGCGAAATATATGAACAGTAACATCAAAAAGTAGATGGAGGATAGAGTAAATTTTATAATCAATCCTTTATAACAGGATTTTTTTCATATCTATTTTATTTAGTTATCTATTATCAAATATTATATCTCTGGTCCTTTTTTATGGACACCTTTCTACATATATCCTTTTTTATTCTTTTCCCATGTTGATGTTAAATTGAGAGCTAAAAATATAATTTTACAATAATCATATATCCTTCTTGCCAAGACCGGCCCATAAGAAGGACAGGCAGCCCGTTCGGACCGGCCCCTCTATTTTCGTATTTTTTTCATCAATTTAACACCTATATGACAGAAGGTCAAAAAAATACGCGTAGAAAGATATCCACAAAATAAGGGGCACAGACATAATATTTGATAATAGAAAAGTAGATATAAAAAATACTATATTATAAAAGATCAATTATAGAATTTACTCATAATTTTATTAACTAAAAATATTTATTTATTTATTTGAATGTCATTGATTCTATTACAACGTATTATCTGTTCATACTTCATACTATTCTTAACCTAATGACGCACAAAGAAACACTACTCCCGCCTCCCCTAGAGCTCGAAGCTGGGTGAACTTTGCAGTGAATCCTGAAAAGTGAGCTTCTACCTCTCAACCAAATTGACTGTAGGCTCATATGGTTAATCCTTTGGAAAATGCTAGGGGTACACCACCAGGTGTACCCAAGCTGGCCCAATGGGGGGACAAACAGTCCGCCCGGACCGGACCCATGAATTTAGGGGCCCAATTTTTTAAAATATGTTATTTATGTATATAAGAAGCTCTAGCCCATTATGCCAAGGTCCGTCATTTAGGGGGTGTTTGTTTTTTCTGCAGGAAAAGGTCTGCGGTCTGCGGACCACTACTGTAGACATCTGCAGGAGAAGTGGTGGACCGAAGGTCTGCGGTCTGCAAGAAGAAGACTGTTTGTTTTTTTAATGTCTGTGGACTGCTATATAAATTAATGGTGGTAGTGTATGGACGATTGTGGTGGTGGTGGAGGGTGGTGGTGGACG